TTGCCGAGTCTTATTTGAGTACTGTCTCGGCGTACGCAACCGGACTTGCAGCGCAATTCTCCACGCCCTATACAATTAGCATAGCTGGATTCGGGAATCGCTCCGATCGATTGCTCGAAGCGAAGTGAATATTTTATATCACGATTTACCATGCACAACGCTGGTCTGCTCAGCCTGCCCGCTTCAGTCGAAAACGTATAAAAACGCGCGCGAAGGAAATTCTATGGCAGTCAACGTCGACCAACGTTGCAGGGCGCCATTCGCCTACATTTAGTGATAGGCTGGGATTCGGGAATCGGTCGCCCGACGCGAGCGAGTACTGATCAGCGAAGCCTGATAAAAATTCCCCATATATCAGATTTTTACCATGCACACTGCTGTCAGCTGCCCCGGTCTTCACGTCCGAAACGTATAAAAACGGCCTAGCCATACAGGCGCCACTGTAATCGCTCCAAACATCCACCACCGCTACAGTCACTCAATGAATGCAGCACAACTTGGATGCATCCGACCGCACAGCTGCAATCGCTCAGCACGACACCGCTTGCATCGGCTCACCACACAGCCGCTACATCAATCACCATACACACCGCCTACAGTCAATCCACACACCGCTGCACTCGCTTCACGACACACACCACTGCATCACTCACTACACACAAGCTTGTATTCGACATCACACACACCACTGTATCCACTCACAAGCGAGACACCGCTACATCACCACATCACACCGCTGGAGCATCGCTCACGACACAGACCACTGGCATCACTACAACACACCACAGTTGCATCGCTCGCACACACAACAACTGCTACCGTCACACACACCACTCGCATCACTCACTACCACCAGTCTATCACTTCACACACAAGCAACCGACTGGCATCACTCACACAGTGACATCTCTCACTCACTGAGCCACGCTCCAATCTCGTCACAAATCCGTCTGTCGTTGATTGCGCAGGTCAGAAGCCCAGCAAGCACGCGCGCATGCATGTACTCACGTGCTGCCTCGTCCACTGTCATCTCGTTCGCGAGCACGCCACCTATCTTGCTGAAGGCGGGCATGTGAATGCCGTACTTGTCCAGCTCTTTCCTCATGTTGCTGATCTCCTCCTCTGTTATAGACGACAAAAACGCTAACCATTGGTTAAAGCAAAGTAGCAACATCCGTGATACAAAGACATAACCGACAGACGGACACCCAGGCTCGCTCGCGTCGCTCGAGACGGGAGTTGCGGAGAACGCCGGCCAGTCTAGTTAGTAATCATAAACCATCACCGGACAGTAAATGTAAGCCACCAACAGACAGTAAATGTAAGCCACCAACAGACAGTAAATGTAAGCCACCAACAGATAGTAAATGTAAGCCACCAACAGACAGTAAATGTAAGCCACCAACAGATAGTAAGGGTAAGCCATGCTCAGGCAGTAAACATAAACCACCAACAGACAGTAAATGTAAGTCATGCTCAGATAGTAATCATAAACCATCACCGGACAGTAAATGTAAGCCACCAACAGATAGTAAATGTAAATCACCAACAGATAGTAACTAGAATAAGCCATGCTCAGACAGTAATCATAAGTCATTACCAGACAGTAAACATAAGTCACCAACAGACAGTAAATGTAAGTCATGCTCAGGCAGTAAACATAAACCACCAACAGACAGTAAATGTAAGCCATTCTCAGGCAGTAAACATAAACCACCAACAGACGGTAAATGTAAGCCACCAACAGACAGTAACTAGGATAAGCCATGCTCAGCTAGTGATCATAAGTCATGCCCAGACAGTAAATGTAAGCCATGCTCAGACAGTAATCATAAGTCATTACCAGACAGTAAACATAAACCACCAACAGACAGTAAATGTAAATCACCAACAGATAGTAACTAGGATAAGCCATGCTCAGACAGTAAACATAAGCCACCAACAGACAGTAAATGTAAATCACCAACAGATAGTAACTAGGATAAACCATGCTCAGACAGTAATCATAAGTCATGCCCAGACAGTAAATGTAAGCCATGCTCAGACAGTAATCATAAGCCATCACCGGACAGTAAATGTAAGCCACCAACAGATAGTAACTAGGGTAAGCCATGCTCAGACAGTAATCATAAACCATCACCGGACATTAAATTAAATGTAAGTCATACCCAGACAGTAAATGTAAGTCATACCCAGACAGTAAATGTAAGTCATTACCAGATAGTAAATGTAAGTCATTACCAGATAGTAAATGTAAGTCATTACCAGACATTAAATTTAAGCCACCAACAGATAGTAACTAGGGTAAGCCATGCTCAGACAGTAATCATAAGCCATCACAGGACATTAAATGGGAGCCACCAACAGATAGTAACTAGGATAAGCCATGCTGAAACAATAAACATAAACCATCACCGGACATTAAATGTAAGCCATTGCCAGACAGTAAATGTAAGTCATCACCAGACAGTAAATTTAAGCCACCAACAGATAGTAAATGTAAGTCATGCCCAGACAGTAAATGTAAGCCACCAACAGATAGTAAGGGTAAGCCATGCTCAGGCAGTAAACATTAGCCATCACTAGACAGTAAATGGGAGCCACAAGTAGACAAGACCTGTGACATGTGACATGTGCATTAAGTAGTGGGACAAGGAAGCATACGTGTACTAGAATATAGACGAATAAGAATAACTCCAAGATAGAGTCAACATATACCCCGCTGTTTTTACATCTTACCTGTAAACTCAACCTTGCCAATAAGATTTTGTATCTGGGATGCTTTTCCAAGCTTGAATAAGTACAAACTGAAAAGAGCAAATCATTTCATTAACAGAGCTTTCTTTTTAAGAATAAATAATTATAGAAAGTTGAATTAATCGGTTGTAAAGGAAGGCAGAGTGGCAAGGGCAGCCATGAGCATGAACAGGAGACTGAGGCCAGTGTAAATGGATGGAAAAAAGGGGCAGCATGATCGAGAGAGGAGTGTGGAGGAGGAAGCGGGGACAGGAGAGGAGCTGTGTTGAACAGCAGAGACATAAAAATTACCATACGAATAGAAAATTCACCTGAGGGCATGAATGCAGTACACCAGCCTTGGCATGTTTTTTCTGTCATAGATATCTGTCGTCTCAGGGTGAAATATCTGAAATGAGAAAGATGCAAATGTTGCTTGGTGTAGTAGTGGTTTAATGTGAGAACAACATTAAGATAAATGCAGAATCCTATGTCAAAAACACACCTCATTGTCAAAAATGCAACTTGAAATTGTATAGTATACATTGTGTCACGTGAAATCAATAAAATAACGTGATTGCTGTTTACCTCCTGGCGTGGTACTATCAAGACGTTTTCCCACTGCCAGGGTATAGATCTTTCAACATTTTTATGTGCAAGTATAAATCAGGTATTAGAAAGATCAGTGGCAGGGGGAACAAAGGCGGCACCATATGTGGTAAATAACTGCATAGCCAACCCTGTGGGTAAGGTGTCTGTTGTATGGAAGTAGTTGAGTAGTCACTGTATAACTGCCACTCACGGGAAATACCCAACGTGTCCTGTATAGACAGGTGTTCAGCGTATAGAGGTAGTTTCACTGTATAACTGCCACTCACGGGAAGCACGAATAGCAGTGTCGGCGAATACAGATATTTGCGAACACAAATGTTTGGGTAGCAATCTCTAAATTGTAAATCACCATGGTCAAATATACTGCTAACTGCAACATTTCCACCAGAACCTAGACATTAATCATAATGTGATTCACACTCAAATAAAGTTTAATTTTCAAGTAAAATCTTTAACAAAATGTTAATTACCATGTGAAAATGGCAACACGGCATTTCAAGTTAAGTACCATGTGACGTTGTCACCTAAACATTATACCTTTAGGGTAGAACAGAGAAAAAACTTAACTTTACACTTTAATTATTCTTTGACACAGTATATTGAGAATTAATAATTAGGACACATTTATACATTGAATTTTCAAATGAATACAGATAATCATGCGTAGACACAGTGGGTGCACGCACGCACGCACACACACACATGCGACCCACACACACAACGGCGCACGGCTACGCACGCACGCACACACACAATGCGGCACACACACACACGCGCACGCACCACGCACGCAGCGCACGCACGCACGCACACACATGCACAACACACCACACCACACAACACACACACACCACCAACAGCACCCACGACTACGCACTTCACGCACGCACGCACACCCACCGCACCACGCGCACCGCAACATACACACGTCACATAGCACACGCACGCACGCCACGCCACTGCACACACACACACACACACAACACACACAAAAACCCTTCCCACACATACAACTGCCATTCTATGGAAAATGCTCCTGCCATGTATAAACCTGCAGTAATTGAAATAATTTGGCAACTACTCTGTTCAACGAACTCAACTAGACAATGGTTTAGCTTCTCCCACCAATGGCCCACCCCAATGCACCGCTGCCCGATGACCACCTGCTATTTTCTACAGTACAGTATTGCAAACTAGTAGTAAACTACACTGTCTATAGAAACCCGTATGCAGTATTTTATATTGTAAGAATGGCGGCATTCCTTTAAATCATCCACGACATACTATTCAAGCCATTATTACAATTACTGGATAAATTCGTTGTGCTGATAGTATTTCCACCAGTTTTCATGTTAAAAAGCAAACTGTACGTGATGCGTAAAATTTATCGCCGTTCTACACATTTCATCCTGGTATCAGTGAGATAGACAGCGGAGGCAACTGCAACTGGGCGAGGCACTTCCACTGTATACGCTTGCTTACGATGTAGCGAACGTACGCAGAGTATGCTAGCTACTATTATATAGATTACAGGTTGGCTTGTTGGTATGACCAGGAAGCAGGGCACAGGAAACGTCCGCGAGGCAGCGCGCCTCTAACTCACGGCCATCTCACGCTGGAAGTTTCCCTACTAATAACTTCTTCTTAGAGTCACTCAATAGAGCCATCTGCCAATCGCATCATCCTCGTACCTACGACTAATGTCATGATTTGCAGCTATCATGCGGGCTGCGTCAGTTGCATGCTCATCCGCATACACGACCACTGCACATTTCGCCTAACCAGAGTGTGAAGCTGTTTCAATCTGCTTGAAAAGGCATTTCAGATGGATAGGCACAGTAGTAAATGAAGTAGGGTGTTGCTAACTGGACAACAACACGGGGCGCGTTAATTTCATCAGCTTGCATTTTATGGCACAATGTAAAACGAATAAAAGTAGGACGTTATAAAATGGACACTTTAAATTTAATGGGTTGTCATTATGTCATTATATTCATGATATGTGCAGACAGGGTCGTTATCGCACATGTTTTCGTCATGAAAACCAGCACGTCTTAATAAGTAGTACAGAACCAAAGCGATACGCGGGATACGGGTCCACACGCATACGCGGCACGCACGCACGCACGCGGGAGCGCACACACGCACGCACGAGCGCACATACGAGACGGTCTCTCATTGTAGCGAACACTCTATCCCATATACAGCTTCTGCGGGACCAGCACTGTGTAAGGAGTAGCTGTTAGGTATTATAAAAGCTTTGTGCAGCTGCGATGTGTTGCTCGCTCCGCTGTTGACACACACAAATTATTGGCGTCATACGCGGGCGCACCCAATCAACGGTAGTTTATTTCTGCCAGAGTTTATTAAGCCTCGCACTAGTCACGCCTAAAATACCGATATAACAGTGATGCCCTCAGAAGGGGAGAAGAAGCAGAGAGAAAGAGACGAGAAGAGAGAGAGAAGCAGATGCAGCACGCACACACAGACACAGCCAGCAACAAGCACAGCACGAAAACGACACACACGAGCACACAGAGAGCGAAAGAGCGAGAGAAGAGAGAGAGAGAGAGAGAGAGGGGAGAGAGAGGGAGAGAGAGAGCAAGAGGCAAACACAGGAAAGAGGAGCGCAACCCGACAGCGCGAAGACGCCGGAAGCAGCAACTGACACAGGCAGCAGAACACCGGGACACGAGCGCAGCAGCGAGCACAGCGAGACGCACGAGACTCGAGAAATGAGGAGTGGCACTAATTTCGTCATACCTAAAAATGCCTGTATTTGGCATTTATTGGTACGCTGAAAGATCGGACACTAGCTATGCAATAGGAGTACTTGCATTATAGACAGCGAAGATGAGAATAGCCAGAGAGAAGAGAAGTCAGTAGAGAGCGAAGTCCAAGAAGCAGAGAAGTAAACAGAGTGGATCAGCCTAGTAGTGAGTATGAGCAGTGTAATCAGTGAGGGCAAGATCCAGACGTGCGTAGTCACATACATACACGCAAACACGCAAGAAGACACCAGAGCGAAGAGAGAAAGAGAGAGAGAGAGAGAGAGAGAAGAGAAGCGAAGAGAGAGAGGACAACCAGAGAGAGACCGGCAGTTATGAAGAGAGATCAGTAGATGAGTGTTAGGAAAATGTAGTCAGCAGAAGCAACTATTGTAGAGAGCACAACGCACACAACCACACGCAACCGACGCACACATACACACACATGCAAGACCCGAGAAGAACATGCAGAGACCAATCCAGAGACGAGAGCAGCGACACACACAGACACACAGAGAGAGACCAGAAGAGATGAGACACACTCGCACCACAACGCAACACACACGCACACACACACGCACGCAACACGCTCACGCACCGAACACACACCACACAAGAGAACCGAAGAACACGGACGATGAAACAGGCAACTACCTGCCGAAGAGTATAGGAGTTAGTTTTCTATAGCACAGAAGAACTGTTTTACAAGAGGGTTCG